AACCAATCCGCAAAAAACTAGCAACCTACAGTTTGAACGACAGCTTTGAATTTGTACAAAAACTTGATAATTTTAATGTCTCTGACAAATTCATGGTTTCATTCGATGTCTCTTCGCTTTTCACAAATATCCCCTTGGACGAAACGGCAGAGATCATATGTGAATATCCAGAACTCCTGCCTTTACCACCCCAGGAATTTAAACGGCTCCTGTTTTTGTGTACAAAAAACATGCTTACTTACTTACTTACGCCTGTTACAAAAAACATATAATTTAAATTTAACAATGTTCTGTACCGACAGATTGATGTGATAGCAATGGGCAGCCCTCTGGGCCCAATTCTTGCCGACATATTTATGGGACTTCTGGAACAAAAGAAACTTAAGCAGGCGATCGACAGTACCACATTCTACTGCAGATATAGGGATGACACGTTCCTTGTCTGCAAAAATCACCAACACTCCATGTACCTACTCAGTCTGTTCAGTAAAGTACACAAAGATATAGAATTTACCATGGAACATGAAGTTGATGATAAATTCCATTTCCTAGATATTGGAATTAGGCGAACATCAGATGGCACACTACAAAGACACATTCACCGCAAAAATACTTGGAGCGGAGTTTATCTCAACTTTAACAGCTTCTGTCCAATTAGTTATAAAAAGGGTATTGTGCGAAACCTTTTTGACCGCGCACGCAAAATCTGCTCAAAAGAATGCCTCAAAGAAGAAATTGCCACAATCACCAAATGCCTACGTGAAAATGCATATCCGGAGAAATTCATCCACAAATATGCTAATTTAAACCCTCCGATTAGGTATGATACAGTTGAAAAGAAAACCTGCTTCCTATCCTTGCGCTTCAAAGGAGATGAAGTCGCCGGAATTATCAATTACAGAATTAATTCCGCTTTAAAAGTGGCCTACCCGGCAGCCAAACTGACTACGTTATGGAAAACATACTGCTCACTGAAACAAACGAAGACCGACAAATCCTCTCCCCTCAGTTGCTCCAACTGCATTTACCAATTTACATGTACGTGTCGTAGCACATACATTGGAAGAACTGAGAGAAGAGTACAGGTTCGCATTTCTGAGCATATTCCGAAGAACTTGACGCTGCGAGGGACTAAAGCTTTCAACAGTGCAATAGCTCGGCATCTACTTGGCACCGGGCATACCGTCGATATTCTGCACGCGTTTAAAATTATCAATAGACAAAGAAGTACTACCACTCTCCGCTTTTCTGAAGCCATTGCAATTAGCAAACTGAAACCGGATTTACGCATTCAAAAAGAGACTTTAAGAAACTTATCACTATCCTGGTAATCTCTTGTGTTTCCGTTTTTTGTGTTTTGGTTATTTGGTTATTTTATTCATTTACTTATTTTAAGATATTTTATACTCCCCTATTACCTAATTCTTAAACTAAAACTTTATTCACACATTTCCACTACCTGATCCTCTTAAATTATTTTAACTTTCCAAATCCTATTTAATTATTATTACGTAATCTACCTCATCATTATTCAATTCTACTAATCTCTAATTATCACATAATTTATGAACTTCACTAAACTATTACACCACCCAACCTGAATTAACCCCTTTTTCTCTGACCTCTGACCTGTTTCTAGCATATATATATAGTTATTTTTGTAATCCAGTTATTTACACTCATTTATGTCAATCGTTTCACACTATCTCCATGTAAAAAATTCTATCGCAATTTTGGTTTGTAAGCAGCTGACGAGAAACCTCGAAATAATATGAATTCATACTATTCTGCATCAATGTTTGTTCTTGCTCTATTTAAACAGGAAGAAGCTCACGCGTTTTGAATTCAAATCATAAACTGCTTATACATGAACGCCGTGAGTCTACGAAACAAAATCGATGAGTTACGTGATCTTGGCAACTCTAACTAGGCCAATCTGATAGGAATATCTGAAACTTGGATATCATCTCAGTTCTCGGACCAGGAGTTAGCAATACCTGGAATGTCTTGTTTTCGCCACGACAGAAAATCAAGAATTGGGGGTGGAGTAGCCGTATACATACGATCTTGCTTGGAGGTGCTCCAATTCATAACCTCGAGCTTAACAATCTTGAAGAATCTGTATTGTGTTCCGTAAGATTGTCTACTACTTCGAGGTGCCTAGTCGGAGTCATATGTAGGAAGCCCACAGCCGACATTGATTATGACAGTCATATGCTGGATGGACTATCCCGCTCTTCGCGTCTCAGTGTCACTCATATCCTGATTTTAGGGGACTTCAATCTCACTAGAGTCAACTTCCTGGATTATAAGTATATTGGAGGTGAAAACTCAACTGAAGCTCGGTTCTTCAACCTCATCGATGACTTGGGATTATACGAAAATGTGAAGTCGGCAACTCGTTGGAGAAACAGTCAGACACCGTCGCGCTTAGACTGGGTAGTCACAAATGAAGAATTCTTAGTTGATAACCTCTCAATCCTGGCTCCCCGGGGAAAAAGCGATCACGCGATCAAGTCTTCAGTTTTGTCAGCAAAACTGAGCTACGATATTTCACCAGAAACTTGCTCTGGAATTTCAAGCGATTGAAGGTATCAGCTCTACAGGACTATCTACAACAAGTAGATTGAGATGTTCACCTCCAGCTCAATCCGAACAGTCATTGGGACTTTTTACTACACACGCTCTTACGTACCACAAACCATTCAGTTCCTCAAACGGTTCCCAAAAGCTGCTAGCCACCTACAATAATAAAAAAACGCACTCTTCGCCTGCTAAGCCGAAAAAGGCACTGTTGGGCGGAATACAAACGAACTGACAACGGTGGAGCGTACAGGTAATATAAACATACAAGGAACATATGCACGAAGGCTATAAGAGATGATAGGCTCCAGTACCAGATAAAGCTGATGGAAAAATTTGCCTCTAATTCTAAAAGATTATTCCGTTATGTAGCCTCTCTTCGTCATGCCAAAACTGGAGTTTCCCAGTTGGTAGGTCTTAACGGCCCGACCAACAACGATGGCGACGCCGCTAACCTTCTGGCTGAACATTACTCCCAGACATTTCAACTGACCGGCATTAACTTTACTGATGACAGTTTCATCTGCAATCCCACAGGACTTTCCGAAGTGAACCTAAGCGCTGACTTGGTGTTCCGGAAACTGCAGCACTTAAGATTAGACACTTCTCCTGGCCCGGACATGGTCCATTCTGCCATACTGAGGGGAGCAGCCACAATCCTGGCAACACCGCTTAGCGAGATGTTCTCACATTCGCTAAGTCGAGGTAAACTACCGGAAATTCGGAAGCTGGCTCACATCACACCAATTTTCAAAGGAGGTCGACGCAATGAACCTTCAAGTTATCGGCCGGTGGCTCTTCTGTCATTACCTTAAAAAATCATGGAGTCCCTGATGTGCGATGGTATGCATGACTATTTACTGTCCTTAAATTTCTTCTCACCCCAACAGCATGGTTTCAGGAAGGGTTACTCTTGTATAACCAACCTGGTGACTGCGGTGGGCAGATGGACAAGCATCCTCGATCGCAAGGAAAAGATTGATATCATTTACCTTGATTTCTCAAAAGCTTTTGATGAGGTTAACCATACATGTCTTATCAATAAGCTCAAACGATTGGGTATCAAACCACCTCCAATCGATTATCTCACTTCATATCTGAAAAATCGATATTTTAAGGTCAGGGTTAATTTTACTTTATCTCAGGCTATGAAATGTCCTGGTGGGGCCCGCCAGGGCTCAGTACTAGGACCTCTTCTCTTCTTGATCTACATAAATGATCATCCATAACAGGTAACGTCAGACTTATTACTTTTTGCTGGTGGCGTGAAACTTTGGAGAGAGATACGAAGCCAGGACAATATACAGGCACTTCAGGAGGATCTGACTTTACTTCGAAGTTGGGCAGATGATAACGGATTTACCATTAACATATCAAAGTGTAAAGTGGTCCATCTGCGACCTGTTACAGACTACAGTTACAACTTAGGAGACTCCTCTCTAGTAGTATCCAGAGTAGAAAATGATTTAGGAGTCCTAATGTCCTACGATTTTGAGTCTTACGCTAACTGTGACAAAAATGCCTTACGAGCAAACCTTGCACTGGTAATATTGAAGCGCATTTTTGGCCAGTCTGACGGAAGAATTTTCCACATAATCTTTACTAGTTTTATCCGTCCCCATTTAGAGTACGGAAACATAGTATTTCCTCCCTCACTCCAAAAGAATGAGGACACTCTGGAGCGTATCCAACGGCGGGCCACGAAATCAGTTCGAGGACTCAAATTTAAACCTTATGAAGAGCACTTTCAATCACTTAACCTTAGAAGTGACCTTCTGATGGCTTACAGTACCATGAACACTTCTGGACATCCCCTTAAACACCTACTTAAGCTTAGTCCCAACATGAACCTAAGGGGTAACACCCAGAAATCGGAGACACAACATAGCAGAACGGACGGTAGACAAAACTTTTACTCCTTAATAGTTGTCAAATGCTGGAATTCGCTGCCGGCCGAGCTAGCCCAAGCGACTTCCCAGTAGTCCTTCTAGAGGCAACTTGATCTATTATGAAGGACCAAGGATATTATCAGTCTTCAGTCTTCAGTAATAAGGATAGGAGGTCTGTCGACCTATATTAATCCTTGCAGTTTGTAATACTGTGGTCATACTATGATTTACCAATTTCTTTTCCTCTTTTATTGTTAACATACCTAGGTTTCTGCCTGGAGGTTTTGGTGATCCACTGATACTAGACACGGAAGCTCGTTAAGCGAAAGCTTCTTCTATTCCGTCCACAACCATTTGAACTGGAATTCTCTACAGGAACACGTAATATCAGCACCTTCTGTTAATATATTCAAAACGAGATTGAGCCTCAACATTATTAAAAACTGCAAGGGTTAATATAGGTCGATAGACCTCCTGTCCTTATTTCTGAAGACTGAAAATTTGTTTATTGATAACGGATGTAGAAACACTGAACGGCCTTTTAGTGCGGAATTTTGGGATGTTAGGATGAACGTTGGTGCAGATTTCCTTCCCGCTGAGTCTGTGGATTTCTCTTGTAAGTTTAAGCTTAATTTTAATGCCTCAAGATATCGTATTCCGGATATTTTTATGGGCCGCAACTTCCAACATATTCATCCACGTAGTTGCTTCTCTTGTAGCATTTTACAATTTGAAGGCACATAAATCCTCTAGGATATGTGCTCCTATCTTCATACTTGTCATGGGGGTTTTAAACACGATATCATTCATGTTAATTACAAGTAAATTTCATAAATGCTGACTTTCACAACAGGTATTGTGGTTGCGGGTGTGTATAAGGCTACGGGGATCACATTCAACGAGATACATGCTGTGGCGTCCGGAGTTGCTCAGACACTTTTATTGTTTCTTTTCTCTGCTACGCGCATTCCATCCACGCTATAGTTGCGAATACTGAAGTTTTGAACTCGTGTTTCGTTTTATACGGACGAATCCGCTAACCACTCTTACTCTTATACTCTGGTCTAAATAAATTATTTTCCACATTTTTTGAATTTTCGTAATTGTATAACGCTCAGAGTTTGACGCTAGTGCAGTGCGGTATTATAGGCGTTATAATTATAATATGCGGCTGAAACTAATAATCCTGTATCATAAACTGCTACCCACCTACTTAAGCCTATTTCCCTTGATCACCTAGTTGAAGTCCGCGTGATTTTCGTAACCAATGCTTAAAACTTCGAATGACGTTGCTCTAGATCGTTTTCAACAGAAAAAATGTATCTGTCCTTTGTTTTCTGCAAGATTTTAGGCAACTGAATTCCCCACACATTTTCATGCGTTTTTTTCACTAATTTGTATTTTCATGCATCGTATCTTCGATGTGTAATTTTTTCAAACAGCATTCATACTGTTACTGACTCTGTCACTCTGGAATTCGCCCTAACACTGCCAGTAGAGTATGGTAATTCGAATCGATGTACACAAGTACCAGGTTCCACGTTTCAACCGACCGACCAGTGGTTTCTAATTAACTCTTCTCAGTTCTTTATTTCAGTTGTTGCTAACTGCTACTCATCATTTTGACGTCTATACACGATCCCCATGACCTTGTTTTCTTTTTATTGTCATATCGTTTTCCTTTGAAGACTCAGTCAGTACTTGCTCTGTAATGCAGTCTAATGGTCTAGGTAGAGTGTGTACTATCCACCTTCAGCGCCTCTTAATTTTCTCATCTGGAAACTAGTTTGTTCTCTGCTGCAGTAGATTATTGCTGATGGTGTCCGATCCATGGACCTGGAGTATCTTGCATGGAGAGCTGTTTACAAACACCTGTTTTTCTGGTGAGAGTTGTCCAAAACCCGTGTTAGCGGGACATAGACTAGATTAAACCATGCTCAATTCACGATTGCTTTGGTGCACGCTGATTGGCTAATTCTTAACCAATCAGCACTAGTCGATAGTTGGAGAACACTCTAGAATCTTCTCATGTAGAAAACTATAAATATACTGACGTTTTCTCTATTGTGCTTCTGACTTGCTATTTGGAATATAAGCTCTTTCCTGTTCAACCGTGTTTTGATTTGGGGACTTGTCGAGTGAATCGGTGTCCGAGAATACTAAGCAATAGGAATAGCTGGGTCATAACCGTAAGAAGAAAGAGATTATAACAACCCGAGAAAGATAGACTCGCGAGGAGCAGGCGGGCTTTCGTTCTGGTCGAGGATGTACTGATCACATCTTCACTCTCCGCCAAATATTAGAACACCGTCATACTTATCACAAGCCAACAGTCATAATGTTTCTCGACATTAGGACTTCCTTCGATTCGTTGGATAGGACTGTTCTCTGGGATTGTCTATTGAAGAAGAGTGTACCTGAGAAGTTTAATAACATCCTAAAAGCCCTATATACAAACACCTCAGGCAGGGTGAGGGCATACAACCATCTCTTTCCATTGTTTCATTTAGCAAGTGGGGTTAGACAGGGTTGCCCAACCTCACAATTCCTTTCCAACTTTGCTATCGATGATGTTCTAAAAACAGCTCTGATGGATGTAAGTAATTGAGAGCCAGGGTGGTTTATGCTAATCTGGTCCATCTTCGGCACCTTCGTGATGTTACTTTGGTTGTAAAAGGTCGGATCTACAACGCGTCTGCGGGATAAGTCTTGCTCTGTGCTTGCGGAACCTGGCCTCTCCGAGTTGAGGATATCATTCACAACTCCCTGGTTGGGGCCCTAGAAATGGTGCAACACAGTGGCTAGAGACGTTATCAGACATGGCTCAGAATAGGAGCCAGTGGCGATACTACTGTAACTTTGTTTTACTTCATAAAAAAATGAACGTATTTTTAACAGGAAGGATTATCTTTGGCAGTACTTTTGCTAGTTGAACTGCCCCGTCCATTATTATTATTTCACCCTCGTACACTAATTTATGTTCGTTGTTGTTCTACTTTGTATTCTCTATCTCTTCATGTTCTCTTTGTTGTTGTGTGGTGCTTATTTATTTGGTGCTCCTTTGTACCAATATATATGTGTTCAAATAAATGAGTCCTGCAAGTCTCAGCTTCCCAAAAATGAATTTTTACGTCGGTATTCAAAATTCTGACTTTGATATTGGTTGACAGATAATTGTTTTAAGTTCCATATGTTCGTCAAATGTGGGAACGCTGCCGTTGCTTTAAAAATCCTTACCTTTGTGGCTGCATCAGATCCTCCTCGTTCGTCGACGATGATGCTGTCCAGGTAAGTGAGATTCCACCTCTTTCAGAGTTTCCCAATCGAATGTGATTGTTTGGTATTCTCTGTGTTGTATTTGAGGATGTTGCTTTTCCCTTGTGTATGTTGAGTCCTACTGATGCAGAGACTGCTGTTACACTGGTTGTCTCCATCTGCATTTGTTGATGTGTGTGGGATAGGAGAGCTAGGTGATCTGAGAAGTCCAAATCTTCTAATTGATTCTGAGTCATCCATTGTACTCCGTGCTTCCCGTCAGATGTGGAGGTTCTCATGATCCAGTCGATCATCAGAAGAAAGAAGAAGGGGGAGAGTAAGCAGCCTTGTCTGAATCCGGTCCTCACTTGGAATGCATCTGTCAGCTGTCCTCCACACGCGACTTTGCAGTATAGTCCGTCGTATGAGTTCCGGGTAACATTGACATTCTTCCCAGGAACTCTAGTGTCGAAGAAGTTTCCATAATGTTCTCCTGTCCACACAGTCAAGCACCTTCTCATAATCAATGAAGTTGATGTATATTGACGAGTTCTATTCAACTGATTGTTGAACGATGATCCGTAGTGTAGTGATTTAGTTTGCATACAACCCATCCTTCAGAATCCAGTCAGTTGATCTCAAAGCTGAGCGTCTGTATTTCACTGTTAGCTTATTATTATTTATTTATTTATTTTAACATAGATATTGGTACAAGGAGGCACCAAATACATATGCGCCACACAAATCTCATTCGATATGTGTGTGGGCTGTGATACTGCCCGGATGCTCAGATCGGAGAAGGTGCTTTTCTTAGGGGGCCACACCCCGAGCCTTCGACCTGAAGAACTGATCCACAAGGCAATGGAGCATCGTAAGGAGATGCAGTTCCATGAAAGCCGGTGACCAACAATCGGTTCATGCGCCATTTGTTCACGCAGGATACTGGTGCCCATGTGCACGATTGGTTTGGGATCCGGTTAAAGCGCCGGACATTCGCTTTTCGTCCTCTTAATTTCGTAAACAACACCCCCGCCACGAGAAGGCAGTGATTAGGACTTCCCTGGCAGAGGCTATATACGCGTAGCCATGTGAGAGCTTTTTTCGAGGGAGAGCTGACTCCCCACTCTCGGCCGTACCAGGGCATTTGGGGGCTAGCTTCGTCGTATCATATAGTTGTCGATTTTTTCTTTCTGTTTCAGTTTTTCCTGTAATCATTGCTAGATTTTTCACACATTTTCGTCTACCAGTTCTAATGCTCTTCACTCGTTTGTGTGCTTCTGCATGTCAAGCCTTGAATTTATCTGCTCGTGTTCGACTGTTGTCGATCTCCGTCTTATTTTCCCCTTGTTGCGTCTTGCCCAAGGCGTCTATCAAGTTTTGTTGTTTATTTTGGTGCTTTTTGCTACCCAACATCTTGCAGCGTGTTTTGGTTATTTCTTCAACCTTTTCCAGTTCTTCATAGTAGTTTCTTTTAGTAGATCTTGTGTGGTTTGGAACCTGCTGCTTAGTGCTATCTCGAATTCACTGAGTCTGCTAGCATTCCGAAGGAAGGTTGTATTAAACTCTTGTAATGGCGTTTGTCCAGTACTTCTTTAGTCTCAATCTCAGCTTGAGGACCATCTGATAGTGGCGGTATCATAACTCTTCCACTAGCTCTTTAAATCCCATAACAGAGTTTAGGTGAATTAGTTGGTCTACTCTGGTTGGCATTATTATAACGGTTTTTTATATGAGTTAGGACTTCCAACCCTCATTTACTCAAGCTTGTGGTTGGCAGTAACCCTAAAAGACTCTATGCTGAGTTTGTTACCTACTAGTCTGAATAAAATTTTGCGAATACAAAGAACGTTTTAATCTTAATTACTAATTTACCACATTAGTCCGCATGAGAAAATTCATTTATTAGTTGAAAGAGATATGTCGGCAACAAGTTGTTTCTACAATTATTTGTTTTACTGTCTTATTACCTTAACTCTGTTAACCCATGCAACAGTTTCTGTAGGGTCTGACTATTTGAGCATTTTATTTGTAGTCTTAGTTACATGAAACCGTTTCATAACTTTGTGACTCGTTTATGAAGCACATAACTAGTTTCACCATTACTTGCTCGAACCAAGTCTGGATAAAACGGGGTTTGAAACTGTTTCTGGTGTGGTTGAAAGCTAATATCTTTAATCACTAAGCTACGCTCCTCTGTTGTTGATAAAGTGAAAAGTTATTGGAAGTCATTTATAATTCTCCAGTCTTAAAATCGCTGCTGGTCTTCTAGTCTACATAAGTATCATTCCATTCAATTTTTGTACTGGAAACGATGTATCATATCTATGTTCATGTTGTTTGATATTCCACTGAGTCAGCCGAAAATCCTGAAAAACAGGAAAGTATTGTGATTACTCTAATAATTTAACGAGCTCCTTTGTTACACTTCAATTTATCTAGGTATTTTTAATGTATTATTTTACCCTAACCCGGTATTTTAGTTCAGTGGTTAATGATAATAGCTCTTCTTGTGTCACAATTTTTGCTATACTGAAGTACACACTACTAAATCTCAGCGTAACACTTCTCAACAACTATTTGAAAACGTCGATACTCAAGTACAACCGTTAATTATCTTTAGTCTTACATCCATTAAGTAGCATTTGCGTCGAATACCTGATTTCTTATGATTTGACCAGCGTCAAAACATCCAAGATCTTTCAGATGAAAATAAACCTATTTGAACTTCTGTATGGAAATCTAATTCATCTTTCACTGCTTAACAAACATTCCACTCTTCTAAATAGTTCGATATCAAACATGAATGTAGAGAAATGCTCCTGTTAGCCTTGTAGACGTCCTTTTTCCTTTATTGACACTACGCGCTGATGCCCAGCTAAGTAATACTACTTATGTTGGTTATATACCATTTCATAGGAAAAAAAGTATACTTAGATCCATATTTTAGATCTAAGTGAAAGATTTACGCCATTATCATGCCTTTCAGGACTTTTCCTAAGATGTTATCAATGGCACAACGGTAGTGAGAGCAACCACTTATTCTTATACTGGTTGTTCGAAGTAGTAATGAACTACATATATGCATTCATTTTACGTGCGACGCTATTGTGGAAAGTTTTCAGTGTTTAAAAAGCTCTTTGGTGTACATTTTTGTAACATTTAAACCATATTCCTATTCAACTAATAAAACATATCTTTGATGCCAACCGATATGATTATTGCCTTTCAGCCAGTTAGTGTAAATAAACATATGACTTGATAAAAATCTGCTTCAGCCAAATTTGGCATCAGCTCAATGAAGTGAAATAAGCAAGATCAATAATAAGTTTCGAAATAATAGTAGTTACAGTTGTAATGAGAAAGATTAAACATTGAAAACTATGGTTTCGGGCAAGTTTAGAAATAAAATTCAAGACATGTCATTGAATCTCGGGGTTTAAGTCTGAATACATCTACGCCGTTTCAACTGATTTTGAGCCATCTCCAACCACTGATCGCGGTTGTCACACAGAAACCAACCAAAGAGACGACGTTCATTCATACGGCTTAGACCATCAGTAAACGACTTAATGAACTAATTCCATTTATTCACTTAGCCTACCTTAATTTTGTTTCAACCTATTCAGAGAGAATTTCTGTTCAGTCTACTCGCCGCTTCGTTGGCGGATATATGTCTCATATTAAACCACAAATGATGAAAGTTAGCAGAAACAAAATGCGATTCTTGATATATGCCGGGTATTCTTTGGCGTTAAGGTTATATAAAAATGGGATAATCAGCTTTTAAATATGTTTCGATAAATATAAAAACAGTTGGTTTATTCACAATCTTGAAGAAGCCTAAACTGCTCTCCTCCAATCAGTTTGTAAACTTCGTATTCTTACTCTCCGAATTCTACAAGTACTTACCATTAATGGTAAGAAATTGAATTCTTTTGTAAGTAATCAAAATTATCATGGAAAGGCATTTATCTGATGAATCGCTTATGTAAATGATTAAGTCATAAAAAGAATTTCATTTTATCACTGTCTTCATATTCAAGTAAATGAGAGTATCCACAGAGAAAACCGATTTCTAAACGTTAAATTATTTAAAAAATAACCTACGAGGAAATATATATATATATATATAATGTGAACTATATTTTGTTTCTCTTAGCGTACCACTATCATTGGTATTAAATAATCTCTATTGCTATTCTTTTACTCAACCTTTATTTGGGTCATTTCGTTGCTATAGTGTGTATAAATTGATCGATCCAAATCAGTACCACATGGTCTTACTTTATCTATAACTCATATTGATATAGTAAACCTATTTATCTTCTATTTACTTGTTATTGATGTACTGAATAGTTTAATTTGATTTAAATTGACATTTCGTCGTTGTTTAATGTTTAATTTATTCATTCTTTCTCTGATGATTCTTTATATATTTTAGATATTGGTAGATACCGATTTATTTAAATTATGAAACTTTTAAACACAGAATACGAGAGTAATTATATCAATAATTCAGACAAATCACCAATGATACCTTTTATGAATTATCAGCGTTTATTTGTTGGTCTACTACCTTCGTCGTATTTAAGATCTAGCTATCATCGAATGGTATGTTAAATAGTTTAATTACATTTCTCAATATATATATTGTATTGATCTATTTTTTGCTGTTTCATAGTAGATTAGACGAGAATTGTTACAAACTCGAAAGTAATATTCAATACTTATCGACTATACTTACTCCTGTTATCCCTCGTAAAAGAGCATAGGCGACCCACCAGCATTCTCCATCGAACTCTGTATACACTCTCTGTCTTCCCTTAAACTAAGAGATTAAAATCGCTTCGTATCTTTCTTTCTACGAACTAATTCTTTCTTCCTGTACTATATCCTTATTGCAATCTTTCTTTTATTTATTATAACCACTGAATTAACTACTTCTATGAATTTGGTGTTTATGTTGTTGTGCTAATGAGGTATGGCAACTTGGACCGATGCATATATGTGCCTGGTCCTACGTTGTAGCTGGCTGACTGACTGAGTTGCCATTCATCCTTTTCATGTCTGATTCTAATTCCCGACATAGTGTGTTCTTTGGTTTTCCTCTTTCTCGTTTCCGTTCAGGATTCCAAGTTAGTGCTTACTTAATGTAGTTTAATGATTTTCTCAAAGTAAGACCTATCCACTTCCAACATCTTTTCTTAAGTTTCTATTTAGATGGGAGGTGTTTTGTTCTCTCCCACAGTAGACTGTTGCTGATGGTATCCGGTCAATAACGGACATTGAGTATCTGTTTATAAATACTTATACCCTTTTGATGATGATTTTGATAGTTCTCCACGTTTCAGTTCCGTATAATAGAACTAACTGTATTGACGTTCGTATTAAAGATTGTGACTTTGTAATTGGTTAACAGATAATTGTTTTGAGCTCCATATGTTCGTCAAATGTGGGAACGCTGCCGTTGCTCTAAAAATCCTTACCTTTGCGTCTGCATCAGATCCTCCTCGTTCGTCGACGATGATGCTGTCCAGGTAAGTGAGATTCCACCTCTTCCAGAGTTTTCCAATCGAACGTGATTGTTTGGTGTTCTCTGTGTTGTATTTGAGGATGTTGGTTTTCCCTTGTGTATGTTGAGTCCTACTGATGCAGACACTGCTGTTACACTGGTTGTTTCCATCTGGATTTGTTGATGTGTGTGGGATAGGAAAGCTAGTTAATCTGAAAAGTCCAAATCGTCTAGTTGCATCAGAGCTATCTATTGTATTCGACTATACAGAATATTAAATTACTATCTTATTTCGTTTAATGGTTTAGCATTACCATGTTGATCAAAAAGTTTTCACGTTTATCGATTTTCGGGTTCACCATTCTGAGACATATTGCCAGTGTCCATACTGATCGATTTCTATTTCATTAGTTGCTATGTGGTTGTCACTCTAAACAGCTCGACATGGTTTCAAGTAGTTAGAGGTAGCTTTTCATGCCCATTAATCAATAAATATCTGAAGTTTTCTTAAATAACCAAGATTTTATTATACGAGATTCCAGAATACAGCGATTTGTTCTCCATCGCAAGTTAGTTCCTCCTTGTGGCGAATGGAATAAAGCAACCGCTTGCCTTTATTTACTTGTTAGCTGTTAACTTTGAAAAGTTGTTTTGCATCAGTCCTACATATTTAATTAGCGATGATCCCATTCTGTATTAGAAAAATCTCTCAATCGTTTGCATTTTCATGTAGTGAAGTAATTCTCAACCCATAACCAATATAATATTGCTAAACCTCATTTAACAATTACCTATTGCAGTGTGGTTGATTTGGGTGTATTCAACCAAACATGTGTAATGATCTATTCTAGGTCACTTATTTTTCAACCGGACAAATATACAAGTACATCTTTAGATTTGCTTTAAGTAACTAGTTTTGCTTGTTAATCGCTTGTTATGATCAAATGTTTCTATAAAGAAGCGTACAATCTATTCACAAAACTAACTACTGAGAAATTCAAGATAAAAACCACCACCTTACTTACTTACTTACTTACGCCTGTTACTCCTCGTGAAGGAGCATAGGCCGCTCACCAGCATTCTCCATCCAACCCTGTCCTGGGCAATCCTTTCCAGCTCCTTCCAGTTGTAAAAACGCTTACCAGAAAAACCACCACCATGGTCGGTATATTTCCGTTGTATTTTGGATAAGCAAAAAATAAAGGGATTTGTGCATCAGACATATTACGCGATAAAAGGGATTACCATAAAAGCCAACCTAGTGAAAACATATATAGGTGAAGATTAGTACTAAATCTCCTTACATCTCAACATCCAGTTAAATTATCCAAAGTGAATAACATATTTTTCACTCTTTTTGCATTGTTTGTTTCTTCATTTTTACAAATGTATTCAGTATGGTTTTCTCCTCTCTTCTCTTCTTTTTCTTTCGACTTTTAGCTAAGAAGAGTTATCTATTTGTGCATCGGTATCACACTTCTATTGTTTTTATGGTTAGCATTTTACATATCTGATTCGACATGGTTTAGTAGGCTACTTCAATGTAATCATGACAATAAATTTACAGGTCGTGTATCTATATCCCCGGACCCTTGGAGTAAAACACGTTTTACACATATAAGTGATAACGGTAATATTAATTATCATCATAGTAATAATAAAATTAAACAACAAATAGCAGGAGTAGCAACGACAAAAACCAACTATGTATATGGTGTTGTGTTCGACGCTGGAAGCACTGGAAGCCGTGTTCACATATTCAAACTACATCATAATCCCTTAGGTATGTAAAAATATTTTATATATACATATATATCCTACTGTCGAAAACACATTCATCCTAAAATATTCTGTTACCTAGATTAATCTTTTGTTCGTCTTTCCAGCTTAGTTGTTGGATGTTTTGTTGTCATGCTAGACAGCATAGACAAAAATATTGTTTTCACATACAATTTTTATATATTAAAATAATAATGATCCTTATTGAGTGTCTATTTCATTTATTTAAATACATAAATATTGATACAAGGGGGCAACAAATAGATATGCGCGACATAGATGATTCGGTTTGTGTGAGGGCTCGGATACTGCCCGGGTGCCCAAACCAAAGCAGGTAGTTTTCTTAGGGGGCCACACCCCGAGCCTTTGACATAAAGGTCTGATTCACAAGGCAATGGAGCAACGTAAGGAGATGCAGACACATGGTGGCCGGTGACCAACAGTAGGTTTCTACGCCATTTGTTCCTTCAGGATACTGAAGCCCATGTTCGCCACTGGTTTAGGATTAGAGTTTTCCAACTCCCCTAGGTGGACTCTCTGTGTGTCCGCCAACCCGGTTAAAGCGCTGGAGTTTCGCTTATCGTTCTCTCAATTTCGTAAACAACAGTGATGCCACGAGAAGGCAGTGAGTAGGACTTCCCTGGCAGTAGTTGTATGCATGTGACCATGTGAGAGCTTTTTTCGAGGGAGAGCTGACTCTCCCCACTCTTGGCCGTACCAGGGCATTTTATACTATTTGAACTAGTAATTATTATCAAATTGGATTTCGAGGCGTTTGTTGATTTATGGCTTAAGTGTTTGATTTATTTCCAACATATATTGCGTGAAAAAAGGATCTTTATAAGATATTCCGTATTCACCAAATTACAAATTGGGAAAAACAGTAGGATGTAATAGGTTTTCAGAATAAAATGTTATTTCAGTTAATAGTATGACTAATTCAGGTAGATAACTATAGAGCTGATTTCTTTCCAACTTGGCGTAACATGTATGTCGATGATAAATTCAAAGAACGGTAGTGTGTACTTTTTTTGGACCGTCAGTGACTTCAGTGTCATGTCAGTGCTACTCAACAATCACCCTGTAGTATTCGTAGTCAACTCTTATCAGATATAATTCTATCCAGATCAAAGTTACTTCGGATTTGTGAATCACTGTATGAAAATTAATTGCTAAAATCACTAAGTTTTGTCTCTCTGTAGGGTTGACAATTTTTTTAAAGCTTTGTTGTTAACGTCGATACGTTAATCTGTTTACTGCATAGTTGGAATGCACGAAATGATCAATGTTAAGTTGTTAGGAAAGCCCTCAGCCTTGTTTAACACCCAATATCAGCAAGGTGCTCCCTTTGGGAGTTCAAGTCACACATCACTCATTTCCACGGTGGGAAATGCTACCACTGAGCTATTAGGGTTTGTTTATAGATTTAAGATATTTAAAATGATCAATCACTAAATAGAAACTAGTGTTACGTTTTTCTGGTTCTTAATGATGATTAAATTTTGCTATTCAGTGTCAATAAAAAGAACCCATAGATTGTTAGCATCTAGTGTAGTATGGTTGGTCCAATAATAAACTTATACGATTTGTTCTTATTTATTTATTATTTATTAGAACACATAAACATTGGTACAAGTAGGCATCAAATACATATGCACCACACAGTAACAATGAGACCAGTAGTAGTTATTGTTGATTTGTGTGAGGGCTGGAATACTACTCGGGTGCTTGTTTGAAACATTCAAACCGAAAAATTACCACAAAATATTAATCATATAGTCTACTACTTGAATAACTAATAAAATGGTATAGATTGGCTAGTACGAATAGCCATTTGAACGTATATTAGGGTTGGATTTACACATAACATTAATGGTGAAGATTTCCAACCCAGGTAAACTGATTTGCTATTTAACAAATATTCAAAGTACTTAGTTCTATATAAGGTAGATGCTGATGATATTGTCTAGAATGACAATGGAAATTTCGTAATTAAATCACATCCAGCTCAGAGAAAATGACACTACTCATACAACATTAGTTCACTCCAATATCAGATTAGTTTAAATTGTTATTGTTACCTTCTTTTGTTCCTTTTGTTCCGTCTATCAATTAATGGACGAGTATACTGCGCGGCAGTTCGTTCTGTTTTACTTTAAGGCTGCGAAACGTGACCATTAAGAGTAGAAGATATTCGTAAGCTACTAGTATTTGACCACAGATGCCTCAGAAATATTGCTCGCATCTGCTGGGATCACCAGGTAAGTAATAGCGAGGTTCGACGCAGGGTATTAGGCAATGATGGTCAATCAGTTGATGAGGTTGTGAATCTTCATTGACTGAGATGGTTGGGCCACGTGTTACGTATGCCCGAACACCGATTACCACGACGCGCAATGCTGACTAGTGTTGTAATGGTTGGAAGAAAGTTAGGGGCGGTCAAACCAAAACGTGGCATCAGTACTTGAAGTCACTAACTTCTAGTCTGAGCCATGTTGGTAGATGCAGACTACCTGGTTGGGGTCCACATGACTATCGTAACCAATGGTTGGAGACTCTTGGTGACATGGCTCAAAATCGGTCACAATACAGTCCGTGTATACACTCTCTGTTTTCCCTTAAACTATGAGATTAAAATCGCTTCATATCTTTCTTTCTACAAACTAATTCTTTCTTCCTGTACTATATCCTTATTGCAATATTTATTTTATATACCATTGAAGTAACTAGTTCTATGAATCCGGTGTTCATCTTGTGTTAATGAGGTATGGCAACTTGGATCGATGCACATATGTGCCTGATCCTGGCCACGTGCATACAACCACTGCCTTCTCGCGGCATTACTGTTGTTTACAAAATTGAGAGGACGAAAAGCGAATGTCCGGCGATTCAACCGGGTTTGTGGATATTGAGGATCTAACTAAGGGAGATGAAAAACTCGGATTCCAAACCAATGCTCCACATGGTCTCCAGGATCCTCAAGGGACAAATGAACCAATTATTGGTTACCGGTTACCATGGGACTGCATCTCCCAAAGTTGCTCCACTTCCTAGTGAATCGGACCTTTGGGTCGAATGCTCCGGTTGTGGCTCCCTAAAAAATCCACGTGCTTCGGTTCGGGCACCTGGGCAGTATTGCAGCCCTCTTATAAATCGAATGATTTATGTGGCGCATATCTATTTAGTGCTTCCTTGTACCAATGTTTATTTGTTTAGATAATAATAATAATCTGTTATCGTGTGATGAAATGTACAAAATTCACTAACTCCCTGTATTATTTATCTAACATTAACTACGCGGACAGAGTAGGATTGAACTTACAGTGATCTATCCAGAAAATAAACGATAGTTATGAATTTTTTTCGGTTTAACATAGTTTTATTATATGTGTTCAGAAGATTGACTAAAACTGTTTGTTTTTTTTGGATCATTTTGTTTTCACTTATTTATTAGATCCTTTCAAACCGTTTAAACTATTGGATGATAAATATCATCATGTTCAACCTGGTTTATCTTCATATGCGGAAAAACCAGAGGAGGCTGCATTAAGTTTAACGAAATTAATTAATATTGCTGAAACTAGTCTTCCTGTTGATGTGTGTCGTAATACTCCAGTTATTTTAAGAGCTACTGCTGGTCTTCGTCTAATTTCTGCGCATAAAGCAGAGAATATTTTAAAAGCTGTATGTTTTTGTTGTTTAATGTATTATTTATTTTTATCTGAAGGGGTTTTTTGTGAAGATTGTAGTAACTTAATAGTTGGGCTTATGAGTCAATTGAAGCTAGACCATCATCAAAAACCTGGAAGCACTGGACGGTTCGAATCTCACGAGGTGGGATCGTGGATGCGCACTGCTAAGGAGAAGTCCCGTAATAGGACAAAATGGTCGTCCAGTGCTTTCAGGTCTCCTATGGTGGTCTAGCTTTAATTGACTCATGAATTCAACTATTATTTCTCTGCTTAAATTTAATTGAATATAAGTTTTTAACGATTTTATTTTAAATTTTTAAGTGAGCTAAAGGTTAATAATCATTTAAGGAATTTCAATTACGTGGTAATAGTTGTAGTTTAGTGGTTGAATTACTAAATTTTCAACTAATAGTTTTCCGTATTTCAAACCCTCATCTATCTATTTCGACTTGGTCCAATTAGTATCAATGACCTTCACATAAACATTGTGTCTGATCTGCTCGATTACTATAACCAGAGGTTGAAGACGTTGGATGACATGGGATAGGATGGATCGCAATGTTTAGATACATTAACTGTTTGTCCACCCTTGAGTTTTTAGTGTTAAGATTATTTAATACTTTTCATTTCACGGATTTATTCTTCTCGGATCATATTGTTCATGCCTAAATTTTTCTATTATCAGTGATATTGTTACTACTTTCACTACCATGGTATTTGTCTTAGTAATTTCATCTCTCTGTGTTAATATGGGGTTGCAACTTGCAGTGATGCACATATACAGCCAGGTTCTACGTAACCATTATTGACTGATTGAAACAGTGTCACCCAAAACTAAGTAAATAAACCTGTACTTTTAATTGCTGTATATTAAAAATAAATGTGAATTTAGATATTCTTATTGGATATTTAAGAACGACGAGTATTGTGGTGAAGAGTTGTTTCAATGATTTGTTCACCAGTCTCTATAATCATAAATCCAAAATTATTATTGGTATCAGTCTTTACTCTAGTTGTCAGAAGGGATATTCACCTCGCGACTTTCGAAGAATCGCAACTTTCACCATAAAGTGTCATAACTCTTTTGTATAAAGGGCTCTACCTGGAAGCTCTTTTAGGACTTCTGGTAGTCTCAATTCCGGATTGAGGAGCAGGGTTGAACATAAATGAGATTAACAACCCCGTCTCGTGAAAAACAACCTTACTAAAAATGCGTTAGCCAGAAGAAAATTACTATGGCGCTATAGGTAAAATTTTAAAATCCAATCAATTCATGTCATATATTGAAAATAGGTCCTTGGTTCGAACCTCGCGGGGAGCGGGATCGTGGATGCGCACTGTTGAGGAGTCCTATACTAGGACGAAACTACCGTCTAGTGCTTCCAGGTTTTCCATGGTGGTCTAGCTTCAATTGACTCATGATTTCAACTAGTGAAATATATTGAAAATGCCAAATTCGACATCGAATCAATCTTAATTATTACATAACACGTCATTTGTAATGTTAAGAGTAGTTACATATAAAGGGCAAGAGATATTACATGTTAAAAGGTGGTAAGTTCGAATCAGTGGATTAAAATGGTTTGTAAAAACAAGTTCTAATACAAGATAAGAATTGAAGATAAAAGGATGACATGGAAGAGAGTGCAAATCACAGTGAAGCGGAGTAAGATTTTTGTATACTAATAAAATTGGAACTGAAAATGAGATAACAAGTTGAATGTATTTTTTCGCGATGCGTAGGTTAGGTTTGCTCGAGTTGATACCAAGTGCTTCAGCTATATAGGGTAAGTGTAATCTTGTGCTTTTTGGTAGATAATTAGGAACTGAGAAGGCATTTCCAAACTTTATGTAATGTCTATAGCCAATTAAGTGGGAAAGAATGGCACTATTGATAGACGTCGTAACGCTCTCCATTGAACATGCCGCCAAGTGTTTACGAACGCTTAAAGATAAGGTCCTTTAATTATGGCCAATGTAACTAGCCTAACAGGAACAGTCAAATTGATAAACACGCACAGATGAACCGATCTATAGCATCTTGTCGTCAAGTTGGATGTGTCAGTATTGACTTCGTTATGGAAGCTACGTGTAATTTGGCGACAATAGAAGTACTTAGAATGGATCTACTTAGTCAACGTGTTAGAAGTATTTTATATTATTTCGTGGTATTTAAGATTCAATTGACGTGAAATTCATCATTTTCAATGTGAAAATGGATTAATTCAAAATTAATATTTCATCTATTTTAACACAATAATAATTTTTGGTTTATAACTGTAAATTGTAGTGTAAAAAATAATTGTAATAATTGTTTACGTAAACCAGTTTCAAAGTACATAATTAGTAAAAGTGTCCAACTACATATGGAAACAACATGTACAATGTAGAATAGATGGAATGTAGCTAGCAGTGGAACCTAGGACTCGCGTTTCACCCTATTCGGGACTCGTCAGCTAGATATGCCTGCATCTTAGAGTTAATTTTCACTCCGGGATGGACAACAAAATAATCCAAGTCATTTCAGATTGAATTACGTTCTGATATGTATTGTCTTTTATTTGTCTCTCTATCCATCCAGGTACGTCATAGATTATCTCAAACTTGTTTTAAACAATTACCTAACGCTGTAACTATTATGGATGGATTTTATGAAGGTCTATATTTATGGTTGACATTAAACTTTCTCAATAATCGTTTATCAAATGGAAAAGCACAAAAGAATCATGCAGTGATTGAAAATTCACTTACACAAACAATTGGCACATTAGATCTAGGTGGAGGTTCTACACAAATCACATTTATCCCCACTGAGTTAAATACCCTCAACAATGCACCTGATAATTTTATTACATATTTTGACGTACAAAATAGTAATGATAAACCGAAACAAAAGGTATTATTGTACATTTTATTGTGTTGTTATTTGTTCATTTGTTCACATAAATTTGTGATTTAGTATCTAATTGACTGAAATCTACTTCCCTTACATTTTGGGTTTGGTTAAATGGATATAATTACTGTTATCTTTAGATTAACTACTATGAAGCTTAGTACTTTATCATGAACATCTAGTTAGCTAGTGAATTGTACGTTTAAGTTACAACTGTTGGTTATTATAAGTACCGATTCATATGATAAGAAGCAGCACTTATCTATTTTATGCAGTGAAGTTGATTATCTGAATTGTATTCAAATTATAAATTCACTTGGTGTTATTTTACTTGTATCTTTTCACTGTTATTTAGGACTCCAGTTGATCAGTCTCATGTTGGCATATGTGTATCCACTGCGAATTGCCTCGATATAGCCTTAAGTCACAAGCTTTTTAAGCAAAGATGTATAATGGTTAGCAGTGGAATCCTGGGATGCAGGTACATCCGTCCGACGAGTCCCAAATAGGACAAAACACACGTCGTGGATTCCATTGCTAGCCACTTTTGAGGCTATGCCATAGAATAGATTTGCAAACACCCTTTAACTTTTTCACTGTAGTCATATCATGCGTACCTTACAGTTTAAAAACGCGTCTTTTCATCTTCTCTGTGCATGGTCAGTAAATTATGTTTTTTTAATATGTCTATAACTTATTTAAGTAACCAAATAATATATTCCATTTTAGATCAAATATAATAGATGTATACCTTACAGTAATCGGTCATTTCGTAGAAACCTAAATCAATGCATACTAAACGAAATATCGATCGGCATAAAAACTGGATCCAGGACTTACTATTATTGATTTCCTCCAACTACTATCATCAAATAGTTACACTACAATGTCAAATCACATAACCTAGTAGTTTTGTGATTAAATTGCGGTATTCTACAGGTCTGGATCAGGGCTAGAGATTAGATAGTATGATACTATGGTTACTGCCATTGCGATAGATTAGAGTGAGCCTCCCAACTCTCTATGGGGTTATTTTGACCTGTATAGCCTGATGCTGATGGCTTAGTACCAACTGCTATGAAACCAGTCTTATGATCTCCTACAGATTGTCCTTAACTATTCAGTAGTAGTGTGGGTAGTTATTCACGCTTTAATTTTTTTCTTCTTACAGATCTATTCACATAGTTACTTAGGCCTAGGACTAATGTCTGCACGTTATTCAATGTTATATAATGCAACTGAACATTTCAAGTTAATTACTGAAGGAAAGAAAGAGTTTTTTCATCCTTGCTGGCCTAATAATGTAACTGTAAGTTTAATTTTGTGTATGTTAAACTCTTTATTATTAAATTACTAGATTTTTTTGAAAACTTTCAGGTATCAGTTTGTTATAACTTGCGACCGCCGATTAGAGGGCAGTGACTAATAGACAGGGCATAACTCAAGAATGGTGAATCGTATAATAATAGTCTATAGATCAAATGGAAGTTTATATTAAGAGGAACATAAATATGAATAGTTTAGTTATTTAACAATTATACGATAAAAATATACGTTTAGTATTGGTCCATAAAAGGATCCCAACGTTACCATTCATTATGTTTCTCGGGACCTAACACAGTTATAATCAAGATCGAGGATCTGGAAATAGTATGAATCAGGTCAAGTTGTTATACTTTACATATTAACACAACAAAAAAGGTAAACATTAACAGGACCTTAAACAAAAGATCAATAATAATATTAATAATAACCATAGTATTAAGTTAAGAAATGGTGGAACATAATTTATGAAGTACAAACATTCAATGTTTGATTGGTGTGAATGTTCTTTCTACGAACTAATTCTCTTTTCCTGTACTATGTTCTTATATGCAATCTTTCTTTTATATATTACCACCACTGAGTTAACTACTTCTATGAATCCGGTGTTCATGTTGTTGTGCTAATGCGGTATGGCTACTTGGACCGATACACATATGTGCCTGATCCTACTTTGTAGCTGACTAACTGGTTTGAATGTGTGATTGGTTAGAAACTACTTAAAATCACTTGTGTTAAGCATTCTAAACACTTAACAATACTTGAACTCAATCTCTGTTCTATCATGTACATACAATCAAAGTCTAAAACTGTTATAACTTGTGCCCTGTGTCCTATTAATGTATAACGTAATGATACTGCCAATTAGATAACAGTGAATTATTGATTGGGCCAATGACGCATAAAACCCATACGAGCAGTCTAGAGTACTTATCGGTCCTGCTTCCTGCCTAGCCCAGCCAGTTAAGTCCGGAACATCAATCTCAGCCTTCGCGATATAAATCATGTATTTTAAACATACCGGGTTTATATATTAACCGAACAGACCACATCGTACCATAAAATAGGAAACAACATTTGTACAAGAATTAGCCAAATGTGGCTGTGAATAAGGGAGGTAGTAATTAATAGACAGGCCATAACTCAAGAATGGTAAATCGTATAACGATAGCTCATAGGTCAAAACGAAGCTCATAATAAGTGGGACACGAATATGAATAGTTTATTTACTTAACAATGATACGATAAAAATATATGCATAGTATTAGTCCAGAAATAGATTTCGACAGTTACCGCCATTCATTATTCTCATCGGGATATAACAAAAACAATCATCAAACGTTTTTAAAAGTAATTCATATTCGTTTTGATTATTGATGGGACTCTAACTCTAAGTGTTTCATCTGAACCGAATCATACTTTTTAGTCGTGCACTGATTCTCTCGTTTTGTTTAACCACATGATATACATATATGTAATATTTTTCAAGAAATACGAATCTAATACAGTAGTTGTTATATCCTAGCGAAATTACGAGTAAGTTCTGAGAACTATTAGTGGACAATAGTAGTAGTTGTCGGCTTCTGTATATTTTCGTCTATTCATTATCATTCATTATTGTTCTTTATTTAGCTTAAATGGAATCATGCCGGTAAAGATTGGCAAATCAGTCGTATGAATCATTCAATGTCTAAATCTTTATTATCATTTATTAAAACAAAATCAATTTATCATCATCAAGCAGCAATTGAACCGGTCAACATTAATGCTAATAATATTGATAATGATCATCTAATGTTGTGCTATGCTTTAGCAGTGAATGTATTACAAAATCCTGTTGAAGGTAAGCAAAGTTTGATCTGATTAACTTATACTTATATATAATCTGGTGTACGTGTGTGTGTGACAATTATTGAGTATCTGTTAGTCATAAGCAGCATAAAATATGGTACAAATATGTATCGGCTGAATTTGCCACATCATATCAGTTACCTAGATAAATACTAAGGGAATCGAAATAACATCGATACAATGATACTGAAATGTAACTAAATGTTAAGAATATAATTTCAATAGTTGAGATCATGATTGTCTCTCAATTTTGTGGATTAGTTGAAGTTAGACATTAACACCGTTGGATGCCGGCTCAATGGTCCAGTCGTTAAGTACTCGCGCGCGAGACCAGTAGGTCCTGGGTTTGAGTCCCGCGAGGCGGCGTCGTGGATGTGCACTGCTGAGGAGTCCCACAGTAGGACGAAACAGCCGTCCAGTGCTTCCAGGTTCTCCATCGTGGTCTAGCTTCAATGGACTCATAATATCAACTATTGAAATTACTACAATCTCCACAAAACCCCTTCTGATGTTAAGAATATAGTTTGAGAAGTAAAATTCAGAAAGCTAAACAGACTGGATCTACTGACATGTCTCAAAGTAACTGTCATTGACACTTAATGAACTGATGCCACATTTTAGTTTGATCTCACTAGCTTTCTTCTAACCTACTACTTTCATACATCTTTTCTGACATGTACTTCTTACATTATTTCTACTACTGTCTATATTAATAAAGATTTCGATTTCTCATCTGTATTATCTATTGGTAAACTTTGCACTTACACAACAACAACAGTGAAAACATACTGCACACATGTATGTTTTAAGCTGACATGGTTTAATGCTCATTTTAATGTGATATCAGACAAGTTCATAAGTGTAATCATATAACCTGACAGTATTTAATTTCTGGAATAGAACTGATCAAACAATTATGATTAATACTTAACTGATTTATATGCATGTTTGTAACTTTGATTCAACAATACAATTAAATCCGTTCTTTATTGTTTCAAAACTTGTCACTTTACATATATGAATAATATAACTGGGATGCAGGTACATCCAGTTGACGAGTCCCAAATAGGACGAAACACGCGTCCTGGATTCCACTGTATTTCTTTGCTTAAAACCTTGTGACTTAAGGTTATATCGAAGCAATGCGCATAGGATGCATAGGATAAAAGTAAACAATACCAAGTGAATATGAATAATATATGTTCTATTCAATAACATATATTTAATTAAAATAAAGAATTCTCAGCATAAATGATTCAATATTGAATCATATTATTTATCATTTACCCAGTAAATAATTAAAAATTATCTATAAAAGATTTCTTATTCTATGATTAACTGTCTTTCATATTCATTCTTAAATCTTTATGAATAGTCTTGTATTCTTAACATCTATCTTCGCCGTCAAGTATGTTAAATGATTGAATCATATGAGTGATGCCCCCAAATGCCCTGGTATGGCCGAGAGTGGGGTGGGCCCACCCTCCCTCTCTAAATGCTCTCACACGGCCACGCGTATACAGCCACTGCCAGGGAAGTCCTACTCACTGCCTTCTCGTGACGGGGGTGTTGTTTACGAAAATGAGAGGACGAAAAGCGAATGTCCGGCGCTTTAACCGGATTTCAAACCAATGGTGCACATGGGCTCCAGTATTCTGCGGGAACAAATGGCGTATGAACCAATTGTTGGTCACTGGCTACCATGGGATTGCATCTCCTTACGATGCTCCACTGCCTTGTGGGTTAGACTTTTAGGTCAAAGGCTCGGGGTGTAGCCCCCTAAGAAAACCACCTTCTTTGGTCTGGGCACCCGGGCAGTATTACAACCCACACACACAAATATGGTGTGGCGCATATATATTCGGTGCCCTCTTGTACCAATATTTATGTATTGAAATAATAATTAATAATATAATAATCATTAGTGATAACGTCTTGTTTCTTCGGTATGGTAAAAGAGTAAGGGAAAAGTATTTGAATGATCATGGTGGTACCTTTTTTAGTTTATCAGTAGTTAGTTTTCAGTTAGATGAAGAACCGCGTAAATTTACGAGGTTAACAGATATAATTATTTAACTAAAACAAACTTCATGTAACAAAAAAAGGCCTAGAACGCACACTTGAGAAAAAAGTGATTTGAACATATACATAGTTCATATTATGTAATAGTTCAATAGTTTGATCAGAGGCAGTAGAAATACATATACCTTATGAAATAACCTATTGCTAACGAATGATATTAAAATCCTATACAATTATGCGTTATTGACTAATTGTGCATACTCATGTATTAATTTAGCTATTAGTTTAACTTAATTAGTTATCTACAACATAGGACCAGGCACATATATGCATCTGTTCAAGTTGGCATACCTCATTAGTACAGCAACTTGAACACCAAATTCATAGAAGTAGTTACTTCTATGGTAGTAAAAAAACATTTCATATAAGGATATGATGCAGGAAGAAAGAATTAGTTCGTGGAAAGAAAGGTGTAAAATAATTTTAATCTCGCCGTTTGAAGGAAGATAGAGAAAGTATTCACCTATATCATTGTGATGGATTCTGAGTTATGTCAAACAGAGTCTCCAAGCACTGGTTACGATAGTGGCGCGGACCAAACCAAGTAGTCTTAATCTACCAATATAGCTGAGGCCAGTAAGGTTTAATCAAATACGTGTTCGTGTTAGAGTGTGGTCAGAGTCTAAACATGTATTCCAGAACAAGCGTCAGTTTTCCATCGAATCTCTGCAACGATGGTTGATGGCAATAAGGTCTATTTGAGTCCATCGTTGGTTTGGTGTAGGGGGTCACCACGTTAGACGATGTCTCTCCTTATGCTAAGAATAAACGATTGTCTGAGCACAGTTGCAGCAGACGGTCACTAGTATCCGTCCTCTGACCCGAAATACCAAAATACCCACCTAAATATCTTTCCGTTTTGTTTAAGCTACCTAATGGAGCATTAAAGTCACCTACTACGAGTACTATGACTGAACGTTTAGCTTTTTGAAGAAGTTCAGAAAGCTTTCTATAAAAGTCATTTTTCACTTCATCCGGGCTGCAGTCAGTGGGATCGCAGACAGAAACGACGAAAAGGCAACGAGGTGTGTCCCTCTCCTTCCGAGTTCTTACAGAGCCGTTTAGCCGAACAGCACATAGACGACTGTTAACAGGGATTTAATAGTGCTTGTTTTGCCCTCGTACTTAGTGCTATGCTTACACCTGCCAGTCCACGAGAACTGGGTCGCCAGATAAACGGAGGGTGTGTCTCGTCGTCTCTCTGTTTTGGCAAAGTGAGGTCAAGTGAATGACCACACTGGGATCCTGTATGCGTGTTTCGGAGACACAGCATACATCAATAGCACAAGATCCTAGGGTCTCAGACAAGGAGACCTGCTGACCGATTTGACATACGTACGTTGAAGGCTTCAATGTGTAGTTTGGAGCGAGGTTTCAGTAGACCTGGGATAGTGTTTTGCGCACTAGAATCGTTGGCTAGGGTGACACTTGGGGAGGAAGTCGAAAGAGGAAGTTTAGCATTGAAAGTCGATGTAAGAGGAATAATAGGAATTGAAGAAGGAGGTTGATTATGAATACAGTGATCTTGAGTGCTGTTAGAGGTATGAGGGCGGTTATCACTTCCCGGTTGCCCACACCGTAGAAGGATTCTTCTGGAGGTACCTGAAAAGGAAATTGGATTAGAGGTGGTCTTGTAGTGAACAGAACGCGGGTGGGGATAGTCGAATATATTCAACACAAAATTACAGGACTTGTTAATAAAAACTAACAATCATGAAGTAAATGCTTAATTTGCAAAATATCCACTAATTGTCTCAAAATGACTCAGACTTCATTGTTCTTGTATTTTCATACAAATTGCATTCTGTTTCCATTCTTTACTTTTCGATCCTCTTGTCTCTGCTCCCAGACCTTCTGTTCACGACTAACATCATATACTACTTATATCAATATAAGTAGCACACACCACAGTCTTAGTGACCTGAGAGCTTGACCGCAGCGCCCAAGGGACAACTGCTTGAGGTCGGTCACACACGACCTTTTTGTGGGTAATTTTCGTGTTAGCTCCGTACTTGTTGGGAGACGGATATCTGTGGGATAAGGCGAGATGTTCATTTTTAGGGTCAACCTTTTCTAACCCTACCTGTTGGGATATTCAGGAAAATATCCCATCCCCGTCGCCACTGTTATAATTTCTTCTTTACAGTTATGACCCAGCTATTCCTATTGCTTAATATTCTCGGACACCGATTTACTCGACAAGTCCTCAAATCAGAACACGGTTGAACAGGAAAGAGATTATATTCCAGATAACAAAGTTAGATGGAAGTAAGAAGCATAATGGGGAGAACGTTAGTATATTTATAGTTTTTACATGAGGAGATTCTAGAGTATTCTCGAAATATCAACTAGTGCTGATTGGATAAGAATTAGCCAATCAGTGTGCACCAAAGTTATCGTGCATTGAGTATGCTTTAATCCAGTGTATGTCCCGCTAACACCACCCCTCCTTGTTGTAAGACAGCATCGCTGTTATACTGGTTGTCTGAAGGAAACACCCCCCTGCCGTCACGTCTCTGTACAGTGAGCTGTACGACTTTGCCTTTGGGCCTTAGATATGCTGCTTTTAGTCTTACTGCTCTTTAACCAACCTGCCTGGCATAGTAGGAACTTGAAGAACGATTGTTCCAGCCAGTATATCCCGATTGGTTCATCACAATAGACAAGCCCGACTACCACGTCAAGGTAGCAGCAACGTTCGGCTATAGTTTTTATTGATATATATGGTAATAATACCAATAAAAAAACTAACTACTACTTAGAATGAATTAGGCAAGACAGTTAAGTTGTTAAATTTACAACCTAATAATTAAAAGTCGATTGCTTCAAAGTGTTAGAACATTACTTTACCTACCTACCTACTTACCTACCCATACACCTACTTGCTTACTTAATTTATCAAGAAATTAATTTTATCATCATCTTGTCAACTGAAGAATATAATTTGGATAAAAATTTACAAATCAACATTCTTCAGAAAATCTTCTTTATTATACTTTCATTCATTAAGGTTATTGTCAGGTTTGTTTTCCTTTAATCAATGTGACTTTTGTTTGTTATTGTTGTTTTTTCCCATTGTGATAAACAATCAATTTATTTTTTTTATTTTTTTTTCATTGTTAATAGGTGATATAAATGTTATCAGATATCCACCAAACAATAATATTGTTCATCAACCAGTGGAAGTGAAAACACGTGAATTTTATGCATTTTCATATTATTTCGATTTAGCTGTTAGTGTTGGTTTAATACATGAAAATACTGGTGGATTTCTTACAGTGAATGATTTTCAAAATGCTGCTGAACGAGGTAGGTATTTTTCTTGTTGGTTTTTTTTTTTTTAAAAATTTATTTTTGTTTTGTATCCCATATCACCATTGTGTTCGAAAAGTTTAAGTTTTAGCCATTACGTAACTAATGGTTGCTCGGGTTGTCAGAAAAGGGTATCAGCCTCGTGACTTCCGAAGGAGCCCGGCTTTCATCATGAGGCGTCATAACTCATCTAAATGAAGACCTTCTAACTCCCATGACAGAGATTAAATGGTTTGAATTATTTTTTCTGGTTTGTGTTTTTTTAACGAGTTACTTTTCTACGGGATGTGGTTGCTAACCTAATGCTCAACTCTCTTCCGTTATCCTGGCTTTGGACCGGAAATTAAGTGTAGAAGTAACGGAGGTGGTTGCTTCGACGATGCGACTCCGTAGAATAATCTCCTTTCAAATGAACACTTATTGACATATCACAACTTCTCAAAAAGCTAAACTAATTAATTACTGACTAATGTGATTACCAAACATTAAACAAGATAGAAGCCAAGAACGATCGTTCTCTAGTTTTATATTATTGTGAAACATAGATGAACGAACGGTTTTATGAAAAATACCACGTGATCATTGATAGTATGTCAGGTATATTCAAACCTTAAAAATGTTTCTTATTACAATTTATTTATTTACTTAAACGCATAAGCATTGGTACAAGGAGGCAAAAAATAGATATACGCCATATAAATAATTCAGTTTATGGTTTTCTTAGGGGGCCACACCCCGAGCCTTCGACCTAAAGGTCTGATTCACAAGACAGTGGAGCAACGTTAGGATATGCAACCAAAATTAAGTTCATACGCCTTTTGTTCCTTCAGGATACTGGAGCCCATGTACACCATTGGTTTGGAATTAGAGTTTCCCAACTCACCTAGGTGAACTCTGTTTCCACCAACCCGGTTGCAGCACTGGACATCTGCTTTTCGTTCTCTCAACTTCGCAAACAATAGTAATGCCACAAGAAGCTAGTGAGTAGGACTTCCCTGGCAGTGGCTGTATACGCGTGGCCATGTGAGAGCATTTGAAGAGGGATTACTGACTCTCCCCACTCTCGGCTGTACCAGGGTATTACTGATATCCATTATTTATTGGTGATACTAAGATTTTCCTAACACTCAGTCATCATCGTTAACAGTTATCATCTTGTGAACGTGATGAATACATCTGTACACATTTTCCTTGTTGTAAAAGCCCAGAAGTTACTTAAGATTAACCTCTGTTACTTCAGGTTTCAATGTCACTTTATTGAATATGATCCTGCATGAAAATTCTTACTCTTAAATCCAAGTTCATTTCCAGAAAAAGGATAATGAACATTTTTATACTTAAGATTTTCTAGATCATAAAATACTTCCTTTGTCACCAACGCGTTGAGTTCAGTGAATGTTGAAGTTTTCCAACATTCATTTATAGTATATTCAGCTTGATAGTTTATTATTTCCATCTCAAGACCATAATTAGCAATCTCGTTGATCCCCCAAATGCCATGGTACGATCGAGGGTGAGGATAGTTCGTTCTCCCTCTCGAAATGCTCTCACATGGCCACATGCATACAACCACTCCCAGGGAAGTCCTACTCACTGCATTCTCGCGGCATTACTGTTATTCACAAAATTGAGAGGACAAAAAGCGAATGTTCGGTGCTTTAACAGGGTTGGCGGATATGGAGAATCCACTTCGGGGAGTTGAAAATCCCTGATTCCAAACCAATGGCGCACATGAGCTGCCGGATTCTAAAGGAACAAATGGGCATGAACGAATCATTGGTCACCGGCTACCATGCGATTGCATCTCCTTACGTTGCTCCACTGCCTTGTGGATCAGAACTTTTGGTCAAAGGCTTCGGGTGTGGCCTCCTAAGAAAACCACCTGCATCGGTTTTGGCACCCGGACAGCATCACAGTCTATACGCAAATCAAGTAATTTGTGTTGTGCATATGTATTTGGTGTCCCTTTGTACCGATATTTATGTGTTCAAATAAATAAATAAAACCCTTCTTGATTCTTGAAATTCGACAAACATATTTAGTAGACTCTAGCTAGACCATTATCAATATTGAAAAATGTGTGTAATCATGTGCCTTAAGTCACTTAAATTTCCGATTAGCTTTGATTTCGAGATTTATTCATTACATTTTCGATCACTGAAGTAAAGTTACAATCCCATCTCTTTATAAGAGTCTAAATGCTCAATATTAGTGTCTTTTACCATCGTATGTCACTATATTGCTTCAAATCTCTATGACAGTATGGATTTCTTCAAAATTACAAATGATGTTCTTTATTGACTAATAGTATCAGTTGATTATACAGTGGTCTTGAGTGCTGTTAGAGGTATGAGGGCGGTTATCACTTGCCGGTCGCCCACACTGTGGAAGAGTTCTTCTGGAGGTACCTGAAAAGAAAATCGGATTAGAAGTGGTCTTAGTGACCTGGGAGCGTGACCGCAGTGCCCAAAGGACAACTGCTCGAGGTCGGTCACACACGACCTTTTTATGGGCAATTTTTGTGTTAGCTCCGTACTTGTTGAGACCTTACCGCCGGAGACGGATATCCGTGGGATAAGGCGAGGTGTTCATTTTTAGGGTCGACCTTTTCTAACCCCACCCCTCCTTGTTGGAAGGTAGCATCGCTGTCATGCTGGTTGTCTGAAGGAAACACCTTACTGCTGTCACATCTCTGTACAGTCAGCAGTACGACTTCGCCTTCGGACCTTGGGTTTGTTGCTTTTAGTCTTACCGCTCTTCAACCGACCTTTCTGACGTGGTAGGACCTTGAGGAACGGTTGTTCCAGTTAGTATAGCTCGGTTGCTTCATGACGACAGGCAAGCCCGACCACCACGTCAAGGTAGCAACAACGGTCGGGACTAATAGTACCAACTAGCTACAAAGATTATTTTTACTCTTTCCTATCCAATTTCTTCAACCATATATATGTTTGTTTTCTTTAAGAATACTTAAATATTCTTTTGTAAATATCAAGTCAATTAGCCTATGTTTGTTTAATTCAATGATCATTCTACATTTTAAGGCTAATCGATTGAAATTAATTATAGTACAATGGTATACACCCTTGTTTAGATATTCCATATACGAGTGTGTGAAATTTCATTCCAGCAAAATTGATTATTTTATGCGAATTGTAGAGAGAGAGAGAGAGAGACCACTAAATTACATTTCAATGGTGCTCAGTTAAAATCATCTTAGAGTTTTCTTTCTTTCGTTTAATTAACTGATAAAAGTAAGGTTAATTGATCCTTCGAAACTAATTGGTCAATTCATACATAAAGCTTACACATGTAAATAATTTACTTCTACACAGTGTTGCTGATGCGTTTGTTATCATTATAGAGATTTGTAAAGAGATTGTAGTATTTTCATAGTTGACACTACGAGTCGATCTAAACTAGATCGTTGTTGATAACCTGAAGACACTGAACGACCAGATGGTGGTTGGGGCTAGTCGACAGAAAACCCTAGACCCGGGTTTTGTGCTACTTGGCACTCATCAGCAAGGTGTACCTGTAATCTTGAGGGAACTGGTGCTCCCTGACGGAACGACCGTTTTGTCTTAGTGTGGAACTTCTCAGCAATGCGTATCTACGATCCCAGACGCAAGACTCGAACACAGGGCTTTCGGTTTCGCGCGCGAACACTTAACGTCTAGATCACTGAGCCGGCATCCAGTGGTGTTAATGTCTAACTTCAATCAATCCATGACCTTGTTCAACTTTTCATCGATTGCCTGAGGTAGATAACTATTTCACAACTGACACGGAGTCTCATACTAGCACAAAACGGCCGTCCAGTGTTTCTGTGTTTTTAATGGTGGTCTACCTTAGATCAAACTGTGATTTTAACTATGATAATTCATTTGTTACTAGTACATGCTGGGGAATATCAAAGAAGATTTCATACAATTGATTCTATTTATGATGAATAAGTATAAAATCGGAACAACATTTAAAGCAGAATAATATGAATTTATTTTATTTCATAGTTTCTCGACAGTTGTTTACAACCGTATTAGTTTTAAAGTGTGTAACGTTGGAGTATAATGTGATGATATAACAGTATGAATCGTTGCATATATTTCTCTCAGGTCCTAAGTGTTGATAATGATAGAGAGGCTGACTAATTTGGACAATATTTCATTGTTCTTTCATCATGGATAAGTTAAAGTCTCCCTTTTTTAATAGTATAGCCAGTTCCCTTGTTCAATTTTCGTGAAGTACAAAAACAATAAGTGAATAGATTTCATCATTTCACATAAAATGCAATCATCGACATATTCACCAATTTGTATAATTAAATAAAATGTAATTTTGTTGTATAACATGCATACAAATCATTTAAATCATTAGTGTATAGTGATTGATTATTCGTGTTTACTGTGTATCAATGATTGAAATAAGTGAAAGCGATCATGATGTAACCGTAATTTGAACTCAAAATTTATTTTTGTTTATCAACTCATCCATCTGGTACACTTGGGCATGAACCACATTCTAAGTATGGGAGCTGATGATAATATTATCCATTTGCTCAAACTAAAGTAGGTGGAGCGGGATTCGAACCCCCACTACCTTGTGAATTCTAAGTAAAACAAACACAGTAAATAATTCTAAAGAAATCCAGTTCTTTCAGTGTATTTGTAATATGTTTTTCCATTCCTATTTATGTCCTCTTCATCTCTCGCATTTCCGTCGATGTCATTATCATCATCATCATCATCTTCACAGTTTGTCGTAACCCAAATCCTCAGAAACCATTCGATTGTATGGATCTTAGTTTTATCACTGCATTATTGCATAGTGGTTATGGGTTCCCGTCAGATAAAAAAATTGGAGTAAGTTTGACTTTTTGGTTAATGATAATAAGTTTTGAAAGATCTTTTTTTCTCAATCTGTAATGGTTAAATTTTCAATATGAAAATGACAAATAAATAAAAATACAATCTAAGTGTAAACCATTGATCATTCAAATAGGTGATGTGTTTTCTTTGACATATATTATTTGTTTCTTTGTATGTATGTATGATCATAACCACTATCTAATTACTTGTATCTTCCCATTGTTATTTAAGACTGGAATCAATCAATCTCTTGTTAGCATATATCCATCCTGTACGCATTGCCTGGATACAGCCTTAAGTCACAATCTTTTTTAAGCAAAGATGGATTATAGTTGTCAGTGAAATGCAGAACTCGGATTTCGTCCTATTTTTGGGACTCATCAGCTGGATGTACCTGCATCTCAGAGTTGATGTTCACTATGGGATTCGAACATCAACTTTGGGATGTAGGTACATTCAGTTGACGATTCTCAAATATCAGAATGGGTTTTGTGGAGATTTTAGAAATTTCACAGATTGAAATCATGAGTCAGTTGAAGCTAGACCACCATTGAAAACCTGGAAGCACTGGACGGCCGTTTCGTCCTAGTATGGGACTCCTCAGCAGTGCGCATCCACGATCCCGCACCACGCGGGGCTCGAACCCGGCTCAGTGGTCTAATGGTTAAGTGCTCGCGCGCGAAGCCAGTAGGTCCTGGGTTCGAGCCCCCGTGGTGCGGGATCGTGGATGCGCACTGCTGAGGAGTCCCATACTAGGACGAAACGGCCGTCCAGTGCTTCCAGGTTTTCAATGGTGGTCTAGCTTCAACTGACTCATGATTTCAATCTGTGAGATTCTCAAATAGATTGAATTGTGTATCTTGAATTCCAGTACTAATCACTATTCATCTTTTCTTAAAAATTATTATCTAATTAGTTAATCATTTTCCATTTTATTGCTTTCTATTTAATTTAATAAACAATTCTAATGATTAAATTAATTTATTGATTTTTGATCATCTCATCATCAGTACACTTTTTATTATCTAATTGTACTCATGAATATCATTGAATGTTAAGTGCAAAAAAAGGTTTTCTACGTCATGTTATTACATCAAAAAATACATTAATTAGATAATAAATTTTATAATTTGATTCTATGAAAATATTAGAATTCTGTGAGAGATTATGACAATTATGTCATCTACTGACTTCAACTCGACCAGAATGAATCTAATTAGCATAATTCTCTCTAAAAAGGTATATTCATGTTAAATTTGATAAAGATAAAAAATTTTGTAGATAATTTCAAGTAACCATATCTGATTATACAAACATATTATGATATCAAGATGAGGTGTTTTCAATGTTGATTCATTTTTATATATTAGAGAATTCTATTGTGAAATCATAACTTCCTTCAAATGATCTATCAGCTATATAGAAACAACCTAATAACTCTGAATAAGATGAGAATCTACATTCCATTTTTTGACGACCATCAAATCATTATTAAAAATATTGTTAGTGACTTCAAGCACTGATGCCACGTTTTGGTTTGGCCGCCCCTAATTCTCTTCCAACCATCTCCAACACCGGTTAACATTGCACGACGTGGTAATCGGTGTTCAGGCATACGTAACACGTGGCCCAACCATCTCAGTCGATGAAGATTCACAACCTCATCAATTGATTTACCATCATTCCCTAATACCCTCCGTCTAACCTCGCTATTACCTACCCGGTGATCCCAGCAGACGCCAGCAATATTTCTAAGGTATCTGTGATCAAATCGTAGTAACTTATGAGTATCTTCTACTCTTAATGGCCATGTTTCGCTACCGTAAATTAAAACAGAACGAACTGCCGCGCAGTATACTCGTCCTTTTAATGATAGAAGGATATCTCTCCTTCGCCATAGGTGACGTAAGTTGGCAAAAGCCAAGCGAGACACCAACTTATTAGGGCTGACCAGGCTTCCAAGATAAGCAAAGTTTTCAACGCGTTCGACTACTTCACTCCCTATCCTTAGTTCAGGTGTTGACTTCTGGTTTGAGCCATGTTGGTAGATGCAGACTACTTGGTTGGGGTCCGCGTGACTATCGTAACCAATGGTTGGAGATTCTTGGTGACATGGATTAGAATCGATCATAATGGTGTTGGTGTATACACTCTCTGTCTTCCCTTAAACTAGGAGATTAGAATCGCTACATATCTTTCTTTCTACGAACTATCTTTCTTGCTATACTATATCCTTATATGCAATCTTTCTTTTATATATAACCACCTCTGAATTAACTGCTTTCATGAATCCGGTGTCCATCTTGTTGTGTTAATGAGGTATGGCAACTTGGACTGATGCATATATGTGCCTGGTCCTACGTTGTAGCTGACTGACTGACTATTAAAATGGTTCAAAAGAAAGGCTAGTAGCTGAAATACTTTATGTGCTAAGAAATTTCAATAGTTACGATCATGAATCAATTGGAACTAGACCACCATGGAAATCCTAGAAGCACTAGACGACCGGTTCGTCCTATTGTGGGACTCCTCAGCAGTGCGTATCCACTACCCGGCCTCGTGGTATTTGGACCCAGGACCTTCCAGGTTTTTCATAGTGGTCTAGGTTCAGTTGGCTCATGAACTATACTATTGAAATTACTGCAATCTCCACAAAACCCTTTCTGATACTACTAAATTGTTCTGTGCTCAACAAAAAGGAAGGTCTTACAAATTGACTGACTTGAACAATCTTCCAAAACAGTCACACTCAACTTATCCAAAGTCATATAAAACCATTGTTCATCTAAATCTCCAATATTACGAAATGACTAGAGTTAGAAATGTATCGGATCATATTTGTTTACCCACAAATTCTGAGATTCTCAGTTCCTCATAATTTCTTTTTTTTGTGTGTGTTTTTATTTCACTAATTTATATTTTCTTTCCGAGTCATATCTTTGATGTCTAATTTTTTTTTATTACCACTGATACTGTTACCACCTCTACTATCCTGGAATTTGATCTCTTTTTTTTTTTAGTAGATTATGACAACCTCAACTAATGTACTTATGGATCAGGTTGTTTGAAGCGTTCGACTGACTAGCTCATGACTTTATTGTAAATGAATAAATGATTATCCATTCATTCATTCTTGTCACATGTTTCTCTTTTGTTTGAATTTTTCTTATGAATCATAGAAACACTCTATTTATGAGTAGTAATGTGCTGATAGTATTTACCAATAAGAAACAACAGCAACAACAACAACTGATAGCTGATAACATGTGCATATTTGAAACGAATTCATTTAACTTAGTTTTGAACTATTTTAAATATGAGCAAATATGGATAGTGGCTAGCGGTGGAATCCAGGACGCGCGTTTCGTCCTGTTTGGGACTCTTCAGCCGGATGTACCTGCATCTCAGAGTTGATGTTCACTCTGGGACTCGAACTCAGTACCGTTCGCTTCAAACGCCATCGCGTTATCCACTTAGCAACTGAGTCCTGATAGCCACTTGCTTGTGCAATTCACTTGATATTGTTTTATTTGAATTTTCCCATTGATGTTTTAGGACTGAAATTGATCAGTCTCTTATTGGCATATGTGCATACTGTGCGTATGCCTCGATATTGCCTTAATTTACGCGTCCTGGATTCCATCGCTAGCCACTATCCATCTTTGCTTATAATGCTTGTAAATTAAGGCAATCCTAAAACATCAATGGGAAGATTCAAGTAAAACAATATCAAGTGAATTATTTTAAATATGGTTTGAATGATTTTTTTTTCTGGTTAGCGTTTTATTTTTAGCGAGTTCGTTTTCTACAGAATAAGGTCGTAAACCCCGATGCTCAACCCCCCTCTTTCTTTTATCCGGGCTTGAGACTGGCAACAGTCTTAGAACGGCTCAAGATGAAGTTAAATGAGTCTAAAATTTAGATATAATAATAACTAAATGTATGATTGTAACGTTCTCTCTTTCTTTTTTTCTCGTTTTTTGCTCTACAGTTTTTTAAAAAAGTCAATTCTTTTGAAATCAATTGGAGTCTTGGTGCCTTATTTTCAGAAATGTATCATAAATAAAACTGCCTGAAAATAAAGGATAATACGTTCATTACAACATTATTGTTCTTTACTTTGTATGATACATGCGTTAGTTATATCAATCAGATTTCTTTTCTTTTATATATATTTGAAAAAAAAGTTTTATGAACTCCATATTCATTTTTTAAAAAATCTATTTTTATCAACTTTCTTAATACCTACCTACTTACCTACCCACCTACCTGCCTACTACTACTACTACTACTATTAGTGACAATAGGGTCTATATTGTTCTTTTTAACTGATTTGTTGTTGTATGACAACTATTTAATGCAATGATTGCATATATGTTAAATTTTAATCCTGTTTTCGTTCTCTTTTTTTTGGGGTAATTCATTTACTTTACATTTACGTACGTAACATTCAATGAATCTAATAAGTATTTGTTATAATAAGTCCAACTGAAAAAATTTTTTTCATCCTTTAAAGTTGCTCAGATCAATTGTTAACACCGTTTATTTTCAGCTCTTAAATTGTTCTTTTTTTCTCTCTCTCTCTCTCTTCTGTTTCTGAGTGTAGATAAAGTCTTTTCATTATCATTTTAAAAAAGAGATTATTTGGCTGATATTCTCAGCATAGTCAACTTTTCAAATCCAGTTCGATCTGATTCTTTCAATATAATCTTAGAACGTTATCTTAATACTTTTTCGTCACAAATTATTCATTTGTCAAGCTTTTTAAGTTATGTAACTTCAACAGATAATGTTTGTTTGTTTGTTTTTGAATTACACTGCTTGATGGGTTGAACACTTCAATGAATTAGGTAAATGATGGACAATACAGACTAATATCTCAACCTAACCATTTAAAAATTAATCCGTTAGTTTATTTGTATGATAAGGGTCACGAATTTAGAGCATCTAATTAGGGGTAGATGTTTTCATATACTCACGCCTCGTTGTCGGAGTGGTAATAACTTTGTCTTATTGTAAATTTCAATGAAAGGGAAATATTATTGTTGTCAGTTAACTCGGATGTTACTGTTTCGAAATTACTGTTAACATTCGTTTTTCGTTCAACGATCAAACTCAAATGGGTGATCAATCTAGACAAACGCAAAATATAGGAGAATGATGCTTACGAAATGATTAAGTAGATAAAAGGATAAGGAGTGCATGACGTCACTGGCATTTAGTGTCCATAAACTACCAGGTTGTTAGAGAAAAACTTCCCCACGCAACTATATTTCATCCGTTACGAGCAACAAAATATAACAGTTTGATTAGTGAAGAGGTACTGAATGAATGAGGATTTGCACACAAATGTCGGAATAGTTTCAAAACAAATTTATACAGTCCAGATTGTACCTGTAATAACTTGGATCAAGGACTTAATCAAAATATCATAATACGTAGGAACGAATATTAATGCGCAAATAGAAACTGGTAGAATCACACTTAGATGTATATATAGTGAACGAGGGAAACAGTAATAGACAACATGCAAAAATCGTTAATTTAGAGCTCGTTTTTCATCAGAACAACGAACAGTGTTCATGCAATTAACGAACATACTTCTACTTAGGGCCGACGGCTGGAATAGAAACATAGGTCCACCAGTGCTTTTGAATCTAGTAATTACAGATATCGTAGTGTCCAGACGAACCAACGAGAAAGCTTCACGCTCATTTACCAAATACCAAAATAAAATTATGATTTCGTGTGAGGAATTATTATCAGTTAGTTGTTTCGCTACGAAATAATATCGGGTATAATGCAAGGATCCTAACAACTATATCTAACTCCTAGAACAAAAAGGCAATTTATTATTTTTCCGTTATCAGATTGGCTGAAAAGGTGTTGATAGTTCTCTGCCGTTCGGCTACATACAAGCCTATGGTCTCACGTAATGGATAGTAGCGTATAACACACACACGAATGGGAGTTTCCAGTGAAATCGGACAATTGGTTCAAATAAGCAGTACATGGTGATTGCAGACATGTTTTCATAAGCAATATTACACATACAAGATAAGATGAAGCATTTTACTGTGATTACATATAGGTGCAATTTTATCAGTAATAACTTGTTCCTAAAGGGCACGGTTTAAACGTTAGATCCTTCAGAATGTGCCCGCTCTTTCGTTTCAACGACCTTGAACGGCCTGACTAGAGGCGGTTATTCCGTATTTCAATTGCCGTGGGTTGGTTGGACTGGATGAGTATCAAGCTTTTTCATATATAAGTCATCTTATGCTGCATAAAAAAGCACGAAATAAATACCATAAGCATTAATTTAGCATTCTTTGTTTTGTCGTGTACACTTTGGCTCTGTTGTTGCTTTGTAATTTGAACTGTGATCCCAACAACTGTACTAAACCTCAACGAAATGTCAAGTCACAGCTAAATCCCAAGTATTTGTAGTATTTCCTTGGGTTATTATAGTTGCAAGGAATAACTTTTTAATAACTAATCATGTCTGTCTGTAGTGCTTCATGCTCAAGTGACATTTCAGTCGACCTTAGCGATGCCTTTCGAAGTATGATACTGAACAAGCGTTTTGCGTGCTGGGATGATTTTGATAGCGCATTAAAAGAGTTCCAAAATGTATGGAATAGTAATTTTATCGCTTCTCAGACTACTTATACTAGTTACATCCACACGGAAAGCAGGTTGCTAAAGGATGTCAGGTTCAAATACCTGTTTGTAACGTCTCATTGTACGTTTGGTCATAAGCGGAAATAGGAAGGTTTGAAAGTGAAGCAAAAATCGTAAGATCTTTAACTAATATCTGATGTTTAAGGTCTAAATTCCGTAATTTCTATTCTAAATTCCGTGTAAGACTAGTGGAGCAAGGATATGTCACCAAATCCTACAACATGCTCCACAATCATCCATGTAGTAGTTCATGGATGGTATGTGATCTTTGGACAAGAAGATTATCATCAGAAGAAAATGAGAACTTGAAGCCAGTAATACTGCACTGTGAGTCAGCAGATGAAGTTATCGAAAGTATTAAGGAGAGAACTGGTAAGCAAGTAACCGCTGCCGATGTCAAAGGTATGAAAGCTACACTCTCCACTGGTAAGTGTATATAAATATATTTCATGTTGTACTCGGAAGCAGGTAGTGAATATGCTGAGACAAAAAGGCGAATTGGGAGAACATTTAGAAAATGGATATGCCACGCGAATATGTTTCAGTAGTTATGACCAAATACGGTTGTACAGGAAATATCCAGAAGTTCTGTGCATTGATCCTACGTATAATACCAACAATAGAAAATGAATATGTTTTTCGTTGTATTTTACTATGTAGATATTCGTTATTCCAGTCGGTGGTGACAGATAACTGGGATCGAGGACGAACTGTTATGTTTGCGTGGACACGAAAAGAAAGCGTGCCGATGTGAAATGGATTTTATATAAATTCAAATAGATAATGGGTAACACAATGTTGACAGGAACATTTGCGATGGATTGTGAACGATCTGAAAGCGCGTCTGTCTGGATAACACACGAACATGCAAGCATCATTCTGTGCGACTTTCATGTAATTCGCGCTTTCCAGAAAAAGGTACACCAATGGTTGACGAGGCGAAACTTCAAGTTGCCAACAACTCGCTGTTCTCTCAATACCTTCAAAAATCATGGAGCCCTGATATGCGACGGTATAAATGACTATTTACTGTCCTTAAATTTCCTCTCACCCCAAGAGCATGGTTTCAGGAAGGGTTACACTTGTATAACAAACCTGCTGACTGCGGTGGACAGATGAACAAGCATCCTTGATCACAAAGGGGAGGTTGATATCATCTACCTAGATTTCCCAAAAGCTTTTATAAGGTTAACCATACATTTCTTATCAATTAGCTCAAACGATTGGGTATCAGACCACCTCTAATCGATTGGCTCATCTCATACCTGAAAAATCGACATTTTAAGGTCAGGGTTGATTTCACATTATGTCAGGCTATGGAATGTCCTATTGGGGTTCCCCAGGGCTCAATACTAGGACCTCTTCTCTTCTTGATCTACATAAATGATCATCCACAACAGGTAACGTCAGACTTATTACTTTTTGCCGACGACGTGAAACTTTGGAGAGAGATACGCAACCAGGACGACATACAGGCACATCACGAGGATCTGACTCGATTTCAAAGTTGGGCAGATAATAATGGACTTGCTTTTAACACTTCAAATGGTTCAAATGGTTCAAATGGTTGTGGACGGAATAGAAGAAGCTTTCGCTTAACAGACTTCCGTGTCTAGTAGCAGGGGATCACCAAATCCTCCAGGCAGGAACTTAGGTATGTTAACAATAAAAGAGGAAAAGAAATTGGCAAATCATAGTGTGATGCTGTCCTTGGTCCTTAAGAATAGGTCAAGTTGCCTCTTGAAGGACTCCTGAGAAGTCGCTTGGACTAGCTCGGCCGGCAGCGAATTCCAGCTTTTGACAACTCTTAAGGAGTAGAAGTTGTGTCTACATTCCGTCTTGCTATGTTGTGTTTCCAGTTTCTGGGTGTTACCCCTTAGGTTATTATTCGAACTAAGCTTAAGTAGGTGTTTAAGAGGATGTCCAGAAGTGTTAAGAATACTTTAAGCCATTAATAAATCACCTCTGAGACGCCTATACTCTAATGGGTAAAGGTCTAGTGAATGGAGGCGTTCTTCGTAAGGTTTAGATTTGAGTGCTCGAACTGATTTCGTGGCTCGCCGTTGGATACGCTCCAAAGTGACCTTGTCCTTTCGGAGTGAGGGGGGAGTACTATGTTTCCGTACTCTAAATGGGGACGGATGAAACTATTGAAGATTGTGTGGAAAGTTCTTCCGTCAAACTGGCCAAAAATGCGCCTCAACGTTACCAGTGCAAGGTTTGCTCGGAAGGCATTTTTGTCACAGTTAGCGTAAGACTTTAAGTCATGGGGCACCAGGACTCCTAAATCTTTTTCGACTTGGGATACTACTAGAGAGGAGTTAAGTATAAAGTGTAAAGTAGTCCATCTGCGACACGTCGCAGACTACAGTTACAGCTTAGGAAACTCCTATCTAGTAGTATCCCGAGTCCAAAAATATTTAGGAGTCCTAGTGCCCCGTCATTTAGTTCTTACGCTTACTGTGACAAAAATGCCTTCACAACAAACCTTGAACTGGTAACGTTGAAGTGTATTTTTGAACAGTTCGACGGAAGAACTTTCCACATAATCTTCACTAGTTTTATTTGTCCCCACTTAGAGTACGTAAACATGGTACTTTCCCCCTCAATGCAAAAGAATGAGGACACTTTGGAGCGTATCTAACTGCGAGCCACGAAATCAGTTCGATGACTCAAATTTAAACCATGAAGAGCGTCTCCATTCACTTAACCTTTACCCATTAGGGTATGGGCGTCTTAGAGGTGATCAATTAATGTCTTACAGTATTCTCAACACTTCTGAACGTCCCCCTAAACACCTACTTAGGCTTAGTTCCAACACGAACCTAAGGGGTAACATCCAGAAATTGGAGACATAACTTCTACTACTTAAGGTTTGTCAAATGCTGGAATTCGCTGCCGACCGAGCTAGTCCAAGCGACTTCCCAGAAGTCCTTTAAGAGGCAACTTGATCTATTCTTAAGGACCAAGGACAGCATCATACTATGATTTACCTCTTTCTTTTTCCTCCTTTATTGTTAATAAACTCAGGTTGCTGCTTGGAGGATTCGGTGATCCGCTGTTACTAGATACGAAGCTCGTTTAGCGGAAGCTTCTTCTATTCCGTCCACAACAAATTGAACAATTTGGAACCGCGGGCTTTTGGGAATTGTACGTAACGCTATCGTGTCTAGCACCAGATTCCGTTAGTAAATTTTCG